TATCCGTGCGGGAAGAGAGAAAGCAATTTAGGCAAGACAAGAGCGCTTTGCAGCCAAAAGTTTACACAAGTATATATATGTATATATATATATATATGTATATATATATGTATATGTATATGTATATGTATATGTATATGTATATATATGTATATATATGTATATATATGTATATATATATATATATATGTATATATATATGTATATATATATGTATATATGTATATATATATGTATATATGTATATATATATGTATGTATATATGTATATATATATGTATATATGTATATATATATATGTATATATATATATATGTGTGTATATATATATATGTGTATATATATATATGTGTGTATATATATATATATATATACATATATATATATACATATATATATATGTATATATATATATGTATATATATATATATACCTGGATGGCTAGGATTAAAAATATTGCGCGATGACTTATACATCTCTGTGATAACATATCCTTCGGGAATGTTTCGGACCACCTGTGCTTCCTTGGTGTAGTTTTGCCATTCGGAGATAGTTGCATCCGACCAGGCAATATGCCTCTGATGTTTAGGTTGTTTCCTTCTAGGTTTGGTTTCGACCGGTGTGGGCTCGACACTAGTACTGTTCACTTTAGTTTGGGTGGCGAAGAGATAAACGCGGCAGTCGCCAAACAGGTCCCCAAGAACTTGCTTATCTGCTGGTGTATCAGGCTTGTTATCCACCAACAAGTATCCAAACGGTCTTTCAGTCTCTTTGTAATACGCGTTCATAAAGTGGACTTTATTCTTATCAAACATTCGTTCTCCAACAATTCCAATTTGTTTCCTATCACTAGGACTTCGGAAGAGAGCAAGATATTGGGCATTTCGGCTAATATCTGTATTGAATTTCCCCTTAGGAAACATGTTCTGAAGCAAAAGGATAACACTAGCGTTTCTATGACGTCCCTGGGTAAATAATCGAGCTACCACAGGACTGTCTGTCGCTTCGGCCATCAAATCATCCAGTATGATTACGTTGTTGTACCGGGTATTAATCTCACTCAGATCCTCGGACAACTCGGGCAAACCTCTTTGAAATCGGATGCTTTTCCCAAGGGACTTTTTTAACTCATCGTAACGATCTTGCCATTGATTGTAGCACCAATGAATGCGAATACTTCTCTGCTCCTCGTACACGATACGATTGGTTTCCAATATTTGTTGGATGGCTCCTAACTCCTATACTCCTGGCCCTACATCGAACCTACATCGACCCTACATCGACCCTACATCGACCCCACATCGACCCTACATCGACCCTACATCGACCCTACATCGACCCTACATGGACCCCACATCCACCCTACATCGACCCTACATCGACCCTGCATCGACCCCACATCGACCCTACATCACACCCACATGTCGCCGTAAATAAAAAAAAATAAATAAATAAATAAATAAATATATATATATATATATATATATATATATATATATATATATATATATATATATATATAATTATTTAGGAAAGTAGCTGACTCTTTGGCAGATATATATATATAAATGTTTTCAAACCATTTATTCTCGGTCGTTTATGATTGAACTTTCAGTGTCAACATGCCCTATAAGCACAGAAGAGACTGTCCTCTGTGTAACAAGCCTTGTCTTCTATATATAAGTGATCGTTTGCGCCAAGTACATAACTTATACGGAGATCAAAGGAAAAAGTGGTTAGGAAGGGCGAGGTTCTCAGCACCGCATAGCCACAACTCAAGTTTGCTGCCCATACGACCGGCAAATATACTACAAGAAATGAAATGTGTTCGAAAGAAAACAAGGTCTGTACTAAAACCAACAAAAACCGTACCGAAAGTTACAACATCTTTGACCACCAAACCCTATCCAGAATTCAGCTTCCGCCATAAATTTTCGCTAATGGTCGTGGGTCCGAGCCAAAGTGGGAAAACTTATTTTGTCAAACAAATATTGGAAAACAATCGTATCTTTCGCCCCTTGCTAGGTAATCCGGAATCCGGAATCCGACTTTTTTTTGTTTAGGAATCCGGAATCCGGAGTCTTGGAATCCGGAATCCAGACAGTGGAATCCGGAATCCAAATAACTGAGGAATCCGAAATCCAAAGCCCAGATCGTTCTGGAATCCATTGTTTTATTAATTTAGAAAAAAACGTATTTGTTGTAAACATATTTGTTCGTATTTCACTGGACCCAATTCATTTTACCCTAAGAAAATTATCAAGAGCGACCCGCCCAACATGGCCTCCCGTGCAACAAAGCAAAATGTTGCGAGTAAGAGAAGTGGGGAGAAAGACAATGACAAAAGGCGCAAGGAAGTAATGCGAGAATTTGTAAGCGAATACGGCAGGGGTGTGAAACAAAAAAACGTTCGTTCAAAGAGGAAAAAGATTACAGGAACCCTTCCATATTGCTTGGACATGAGACCAGCCGCCGTTACCGTCTCGGAAGAAGTGGAGGAAATGTGTTAGAATGCCAGGTTGTCAATGCGCCCAACGTTAATCGAGGCAATTCAGTACGGGTTAGGGTTCTGTACCGCATGGATGACGTCGTCGCCATCGGCCACAATTTAAGAAAGGAACCATCCCCGTACTGGTTAGCTATTCTTCTGGAGGACGTTTACGTCAAAGCTGACAGTGGAAGGTTCTTGAGAAACAATATGACAGGGCCGTAGCAACCGGGGGGAGTTGGGGGGGGGCTGCAGCTCCCCCAATAATTTGCTAATAATCTTTTTTTTTCAAGATCATGCAGACCTTTATCATTAGTAAATAATATACCTTCAAAATACCGACAATTGATTAATTTTAAGCGGCTACATTATCGATGACAAACTTCAACGAATGAAGATATTACCCATACTTTCCTGCAACTTATCCAATATATAGTTTATATTACTGAATATGCCTTCGCCCATTTGATACTGCTATTTCAGAATTCTGTAATAGTAGTACTAAATGGGCGAATTACCAGTTCAAAATTCTGTCAAATCTTCCCCCAAAGTCCAGGAAATGGCATTTCAGAGATTCTAAATTTAAAAATTTCCTCGGGCCTTCGGCCCTCGTTATTATCAGCCCCCTAATAAAAAAGAGCTTCCTACAGCACTGTAAGCTACTGTATGAGCATTTGATGGCTTAACCAAACAGAGGATCCATTCTGTTATGGCAAAGGTGATACCTGTGACAATTAGAACTCCCGAAGTGTATCATGGCCGATTCTCGCGGGATTTTGTTTCAAGACGAACAGTTTCTAGTCCCTCAGGAGGAGAACATTCACGCATTGCTAACGGATATGAGGATGAGATTCTCCCAAGATTTCCGGGTCAACCTGTCTGGAGGAAGAACACGTTTCCTTCTCAGCTACAGTGACACACGTTTCTACAATTATTATTCATTTTATCACTATGCATTACAGTATTTGAGGGATAGAAACATTCCATGTTTGTGTAATCCAGTGTTTGAATTGATTGATTGATGATAGTTTTATTCAGACATGCCGTATTTATTTTAAAAGTGAACCTTAAGGTTAGTCCGATATTCAGGTTAGCAAATTTAATGCCTAACTGTTAGTTTTTACTGAGGAAAGCGGGTAAGGCCGGAATATCTGAATAAGTGTCGAAGCACAGGAGAAAACTGACCAGGTTCTGTAAGATAAATTTAATTGATGTACACGGAATTAAGTTACTCCACCAACGTAAAACCCATGACCTTCGCCTGGTGTAATAGGCTTAATTCACTGGTGAGTAGCAGCGCGCTATCCGCATCTGGCACCCGTACTAAAAGCAAAGGCTTAGTCATAATAAGCCACAAGGATTAGTTAGTAATAATTATAATAATTATAGAATACAATTCACTTTCAAACAGGATTTTTCAAGAGGTTTACTTTATTTTTAACAACGTTTCGGACAGTTTCACCACAGAGTAGATAAGACATACAGAGACGTAACTGACCGTTGTAAACACTGTGGAAGATTACGTTATCATGTACCCACTTTTTTTCAGGCGACCGGGCGAAAAATGATCAACTGCGCATGCTCAGCAAGTTTAAAGTGAGTCGTCATCAGGTCGTCATCCAATCAGATGCATACATCTAGTAACTTGCCGAGCATGCGCACAAAAAAAGTGGGTACACTAGTTACGTCTCTGCATGTCTCTACTCTGTGGTTTTACTGTCCGTCTTCAGGTTATTACAACTTTGTAAATGTTGACGTGTACAAACTAATTTAACGTTCGTTCTACGCAAGCTTAATTTCAAACTAAAATGCACGCGCACGCGCATGTCTGTTCTCATTATCGAAATATCTGTCTAAAATAGGTCTCCATACCACAGAATAGATACTGGACCAGAAGTGTCACTCAGACGATATTTTGTCCGAAATTTTACGAGTGCTGACGTGAAAATACGCCATCATTTCACGCCATCCTGGAGTGCACACGGAAGTTTTTCATAGGCCAGGCAGCATAGGTACAAAGTGCCGTGTGCACTCCAGGATGGCGTCATAGCACGTAAAAAAATTTCGGACGTTTTCCTTCAGCCAAAACACATAGGAGTGTCATTTCTGGTCCAGTATGTATTCTGTGTCCATACTGTAAATGACTCAAAACTGTTTAATACTTTCATACCACGATGTATTTCCCTGAGAGACTCTATTCCTTCTTTCACTTTTCTTTGTCTCAAACCACTTTCTTTTGCCACAACACTTGTATTTTCCCAATCAACTCCACTTAAACAATTATTCACATTGTGTCGCGCTAATCCCCCGTCTTCCTTTCCCATTCGTTCATTCGCCATTGTCAAGTTCCCGTTTTTGATATCTTCATTCGTTAGTCTCACTTTGCTTTCATGTTACTTTTTTCTTGTCTTCAGTAATCTCCACGTTTCTCCAACATATGCTGCCTTCTCACATTTGCACGGAATCTTGTACACAACACCTTTCTGCTTCTCATGAAGTGGTTGGGGATCTCGTCTTTAGATCTTTGACTTTCTTTCCTGGTTTGAATGCCGTTTGAAAAGAATGTTTCAAAGCTACTCTCTTAAACTGTTCTGATATTCCGCAAACATACGGTACTATCACCTTTCCTCGATATTGTTGTTCTTCCATTTCTCTTTCACCCCGTACAAGCTGCTTCATATACTGTTTAACTACCTTTCTGTCATACCCATTCGCCACAAACACATCTTCAACATTCTTTAACTCATCTTCCAAGTGTTTATCGTCACATAACGCTCGCGCTCTGTCCGCAAATCCCTTAATGATTCCTTTCTTCATACTGGGAGGATGGTTCGATCTTTCTTTGACATTGATGTTCGTATGTGTCTTCTTGTAGTGAACCATACACTCGACCTGCTTTGTCTTCCTATCCACCCTTTGCTTCAAATCCAGTACGGGTAAAACTTTATCTTCCTGATCTTCCTTGGTGAACACATTAACCCCCGGTTTGATATTGTTGAGGTGTTCAAGTATTGGAAGATCAGGAAGATAATGTTTTACCCGTACTGGATTTGAAGCAAAGGGTGGATAGGAAGACAAAGCAGGTCGAGTGTATGGTTCACTACAAGAAGACACATACGAACATCAATGTCAAAGAAAGATCGAACCATCCTCCCAGTATGAAGAAAGGAATCATTAAGGGATTTGTGGACACAGCGCGAGCGTTATGTGACGATAAACACTTGGAAGATGAGTTAAAGAATGTTGAAGATGTGTTTGTGGCGAATGGGTATGACAGAAAGGTAGTTAAACAGTATATGAAGCAGAATGTACGGGGTGAAAGAGAAATGGAAGAACAACAATATCGAGGAAAGGTGATAGTACCGTATGTTCGGAGAATATCAGAACAGTTAGCTTTGAAACATTCTTTTCAAACGGCATTCAAACCAGGAAAGAAAGTCAAAGATCTAAAGACAAGATCCCAACAACCACTTCGTGAGAAGCAGAAAGGTGTTGTGTACAAGATTCCGTGCAAATGTGAGAAGGCAGCGTATGTTGGAGAAACATGGAGATTACTGAAGACAAGAAAAAAGGAACATGAAAGCAAAGTGAGACTAACGAATGAAGATATCAACTAGGGATCCAAGGATAGTGTGAAGTTTCAAATTTAAAAAGGCACTGCAAGAACTATATAGGGTCGCCGACAACCTAGAAAAGCTTGATGGCTTACACTACGAAATAAACTGTTACCAAAGGCATTTCATCTCATTATTTATTGCTTTTAATACGCTCGGCATACGAGTAGCGTGAAGTTTGAAACAAACACATCAGAACGTGCCTTGTGAAACTGATGCAATTCATCTATTTATTGTGTCACCAACAACCAAATTTTGCATATTCTAAATTTTCATTTGCATTTGCAGCTGTCGCTGAAAGCATCCCCACGAGGCTACTGCTATGCTAAATTTATCTAATAAACTATAATTGAAATAGCTATATAAGACATGTTATGAATAATAAGCACTACGTCGTTACATCATTAAAAGATGCATTTTATCCTCATCCGTTCCGTATTTACCCGCATATCCGTTCCGTGGATCCGCTGCATCCGCTTCCGCATTTTAACTTAATTGTGACATGTTTCACAATAACAAGTTTCATTGACCTTTGACTTTTCACAGTGTGACGTGTGTCTATTTTCAGCTTTTCGCATGTGTTGAATATAAATATCACTTTAGATTTCAATAGTTTCACAGTTATAGCAGTGTTTTTAAAACATTTTTGACAAGCTTTGATACAGTTCTGTGTACAGAATACTACAGATTGATTCTCGTAAGATCTGGTAGAGTTATCATTGCACTGAATACGAGTTTGCACCGTTGACAACGGCGTTGTGCTAGACACTAGACAGTAAACAAAGACAAGGACAAGGTCCGTGAATG